AACAAACTTGGTAGTCACCCATAAGAAGATGTTTCATGCTAAACATCTTAGCTCTAGCTCATTGGGTTTTTTAAAAGAAGATTTTTTAAGTTTTTACTATATACATATAGTTAAAAACAATGACACCCCTGGGGCGGGGCCAGTTTTGACCCCAGGGCTTTTATTTGAACAAACTTTGTAGACACTTACTAGAAGATGTTTCATTCTTAATATCTAAACTCTAGCTATTTGGGTTCTTTAAAAGAAGATTTTTTAAGTTTTTACTATATGCATATAGGGAAAATCAATGACCCCCTGGGGCGGGGCCAATTTTGACCAAAGGGCTTTTATTTGAACACACTTGGTAGACACTCACTAGAAGATGTTTCATGCCAAATATCTAAGCTCTAGCTCTTTGGGTTTTTTAAAAGAAGATATTTAAAGTTTTTTCTTTCGGTTGCCATGGCAACCATAGTCCTTATTATAAGACCTATACGTAACCTATTTCATATTTATCATTCATTAATCTGATATTTTACATTTTTCATTTTCCATGTTACGTTAGGTCTTAACAGATCTTTGCAAAATCGTGTAGCAAAAAAATTGACATTAGACATCGATTTAGATCTAATGCATTTAAACAATTAAAACAGCGTGTATTTACATTAATTTTGACCTATTTATGAACAAAACTAAAAAATGATTACCTTTTAACAAAATAATTTAACTGTCACATCCGAAAAGTCATGATTAAATCCTCTCATTTAATTAAAATCCTTGTACAGCCGATATACAAATGGCCGCCATACAGTGCGCGAAATCTGATTGGCTAATTCACATGCAAGCGTTTAAATGAGTCCAGAAGTTTCTAACGGAATATTTTTTCAACGAAATAATTACCTATGCACCGTCAGTGTGTTTGAATATATTTTTCCGTTCAAAAAATTGGAATCAATCTGTAAAACGCTTTACTTAACCAGTATGGCCGATGAGCAAAATAGATTGATATTTATGTTTTATTTTTAATTGATAAGTACATAGTTTGAGAGTTTTTGTTAATGATAGACCATGCAATTGAAAGAACAGAAGATAAGCTTTTGAATAAAGCTTGAAATGCAAGTCAACAGACATTTTTTTAATTTTTCAAAATGCTACGTGTTTATGAGCAATAACTATAAGACGTCAGGCTTGACCAACATAAAACCAGTGTTAGCGATTTTCCCTAACTTTACTGAGTACCTGGGACTCAGTGCTAATAGATCTGTTACGTCCCAATTCAAATGAAACGAGTCCTCAATTACAAAAATGTCAATGTTTGCATAACTTCATAATACAATCAAATTTGTGACTGTTGATGTTCGCGGATACCATTGATAGGTTGGCCCAAAACGAGGCCGAGCACTTGCTCCTAGTCTACGTTTGGGATATAAATCTGCATTGCTAATGAGAAAGGAACAAATGAAAATGAGGTGAAAGTCAAGTTCTTATAATACAATTTATTTAAAGTGAATAGAAAATCATTTTCAAGCAGAGCAAAAAAACTTAAGAGAGAATTGACCAATTATCGGGGAAAAAGTGTTTCGTCCCAGGGACTCAACAGCCCTTTTTTTCTTTCCTCCCTGGCAATTTTAGCGAGTAAATTGATATGTTTACTCAGTAAACGCGAACACTGTAAAACTATAACAAGCCTGTAACATCTAATATATTGGACTATGGCAACCAGAGTTCTGCATGGAATTAAATTCTTTAAACAATTTTTAAAGGTGACCACCAAAGGGACATTCATGTGAAGTTTTGATGAAATTGGCTTAGTGGTTTATGAGGAGATGTCATTTAAAGTAAAAGTTTAAGGACGGATGACGGACGCCGGACGAAAAGCGATCACAAAAGCTCACCCTGTCACTTTATGACAGGTGAGCTAAAAACAAATGGCAGTTTTAAAACGAAAAATGTAAAATATGGTGTTGCAAATTGTGCGGCCGAATTTTTAAGTGTGCAGTTGATTTTCTAAGTGTATTGAAAACATAAATTGTGTAGCTGCCGATGTCTTTTAATAATAATGTACTATAACTTCTGTCAAAGAGCTCGCTTTAACTTTGTCTTATTCATATTATTGGTTATTTGATAGATTTTCCAGTTCCTGTGGTTAGTTTTAGGGCCGAGTGGACCCGGATTAGTTTATTGGGGTTGAAATTTATTGAGGACGAATAATTTTGAAAACAATAACATTTTAATATTTTAACTCTGTCTTAACTAAACCTATCGTTATTCGTGGAATACAAACCTCTTCTATTTCCATGTACGGGCCTGCTCCCTCGGGAAACATTTCATCGGCAACTATTGCTGGTTTCATTTTTAATCTAATCTTCTCCGGGACGCACGAAAGAATGCATTCAAATGACACTGATTAGACATTCGGAGTACCTTACCGATTATGGAGTGACCGAAATATTGCGCTTGACACAGTAGAGTCAAAGAACACTAAATCTATTTTATTTTCATAATTATTTTTTTCTTTATTCGAATATTTCGGTGGCATTAAAAAGATTGGTTGAACATCTCTTATATTTACTACGTTCGCACACGATACCTTATCATGCACACGCGACAGGTATTGCGTGTGCACGGAAAATGTAGTGGCTGTTGCGTGTTCAATTGTGTGCGTAGTGAATAAAAGATTTCTTATAACCCTGTGCGTGTGTACTGTATGCAAATGTCACAGGGTGAGAAAAATGTGCAGCCTGACCGGGACTCGAACCCGGGACCCTCGGAATACCGTTCCGCGGCTCTACCGACTGAGCTATCCGGCCGCTTACACATCTTCTCCCCGAAATAGTGAACAGTTCTGAACCGTGACATACTTCACCACAATATTGAAATTCGTCCTCGAATTTCACAAAGCTACAGAGCAATGCTAATTGAACTCTGAGCTAGAGGCAGTCACGGCCCCACGTTGGGCGCCAAATGTCACAGGGTGAGAAAAATGTGCAGCCTGACCGGGACTCGAACCCGGGACCCTCGGAATACCGTTCCGCGGCTCTACCGACTGAGCTATCCGGCCGCTTACACATCTTCTCCCCGAAATAGTGAACAGTTCTGAACCGTGACACAAAAGTAAATATGAGATGAGAATCACTAAAATAATATTATGAAAGTTTCCGATGAAATGATTAAAATCAAAGTGCTGCAAATAGAGTAAAATATGATAAACAAGATCAACAAGGAAAGCCTTTGACTATACATTGGAAAACCGCATTCAATTCTAGCATTGTCTTCAATTAAATTTTTAAAATAAAATTTGAAAAGACTATTCAGCCTGAAGACCGAGATTTACAAGAATTGATACCGCAGACACTTACCACAAACATAGTCAAGCAAAGATAAATTCAATGAAAACCTGAAAGTCAGTCTGATTTTTTGGAATAATATTTGGCAATTTCTCTCAACATTTTACAAATATTTCGTCAGTGGCATAACTTAAACCTTCAATTAAACAATATTTTAGTCATTAACAAAATATCAGCCAAGTAGAAACGTCAAATTCATAAATTCAACATTTAATTCTATTGAACTCATGTCCAATACAGCTAATTAAGGTGGATTGCGTGCTTGTGCTTGTTGCAAATGACTGAATAGTTTTTTTAAGGCAGAATCGGTGCGCTTTTTCCAGATTGGAAATATCAATATCACTGTCTGTATAATTATTTATTGGCATTGTACTCGAAACCACTTTAAGGAATATCTGTTTCAAATTGATAACATTATGTCCAGTCCATGCTTTGAGAATGATACAAGGACAGTGTTTTTTTTCTCTACTTTGGGAATGGTGCCAGTACCAGACTGATTGGGAAAAAAATGCGTTATTTTGACTTAAATTGGGAATTTTTTTAATGCATTTTTTCAGCTACAAATAAGATAGACATCATGAATAAAGATAGCTAACAGCTTCCACTGTCCAGGTAGAACTATTGAGTGATGATTTATATGAATATGTTGGATTTAAATGATTTCACAGAAATCTTTTGGCCTTGTGGAAATTTTGAACAGCCATTTTGGGAATTTCAACTTTGGAAATTGGGAATTTTAATGTCTATTTTCTATTGGGAACAGTATCGTTTTAGGGTAGCAGTTGTATAAAGAAAAAAAACACTGAAGGACCATATTATCTGCTACTGCTGGTGAAGATATATTCGAATTGTACATGCAGAAATCAAGTCCACTTGATTCAAGTTCATTAATAAGTACATTTATATAAAGAAGATAAAATACTGGTGAACTTTTACTTCCTTGTCTGGTTCCCTACAAAATTGGGAAAAGTCTGATAATTATGTATCCCCGCTTCAGGACATAACTAAAAATATTCCGGTGAATTTCCTTAAATGCTAGTGATGATGATTGTGTTGTCGACACGAGCCTCTATCAGCGTATACAATATTCCATCATGCCAGACTCGATGAAAAACCTGACTACCGTCTAGAAAACACACATACAGTTTGCTGTTGTATTATCGAGAATAATGCACACACTTGCGTAATAAAAATGACGTCATAAGGCAACCTAACTGCTCCTGAAAACCCCCTTGTTGGATATTCAATTTTGACGTGAGTTTTTTTCCAACACTTTCAGGATTGTTGAAGTTAATGATATTGCCCTATAATTGTTGGGGTCGTCTTGTATGATAATCTAAGCAAATATGAAAATATGTTGGCAAATACATGTATAGGAGAGAGAATATCACGTGCTAAAAAGTTTATATATAATTATTATGTTATTCCATTTATTTAGATCAGAGAACCATAAACGTCCATTGTTTGCTTAAATGGGAAGGTAGCATAATTTTCATTCCGAAACTTTATCTTAATTTACTTTATTGGAGGCTTTATTGTACTTAAATTGTTAATATTCAAAAGCCGTAAAATTACATAAAAAGCCACTATGGCGTTCCATAGAAAGGCAAAATAATTATATCATAATGGAGTGTGATGACAGTATGTTCTTTGTAAAGAAAAAACAAATTCAATTAACTTTACTTCACTTAATATGCTAGACCATTGTAAGATGTATGTGCGAGGGTTGTCGAGGTTAAGCGTTCTTATTCAAATTTTAGAGATTTCAATTATCGCATTATTTATCTAAGGTGCTCATATTTTCAGGTAAATTAATTTTAAATTGTTATGATATTGCGGAAATATGATATGGGACGAGCTTGATATTATGGACATTTTTCTTTGGCGAATTTTGAAATTTTGAATTATAATAAAATGACAGGAAAAAAACGTGTATAACTTTTAAAAGTGGCGGAGTAAAGAATAGGTAAAATAAACATTGTTGTAATGCGATACCAACTGAAGTTGTGGATAGAACTGTAAATTTTGGATATATTTGAACTTAAATGGTATGTTTAATTTCATATGGTCTTTTAATTAAAACAAACATGTTATTTTTGAGAAATCATTTTTCTTTTTTCTTTTCCTATTTTTATAAATTATAATTCGATATATTTCAAAACGGAAACTGTGTGAGCAAAATAGTTTTTTTAAGAATATTTACACTGCGATATAAACTGTAGAAAAACTAAAAATAAAAGTTAAATAAATAATAATAAATAAGATATTTGGTGTATACATAATTTGCGCAGATAATGTTATGTAGTTGTCTGTTATCTTTAATTAATTAATTAATTAATTAATTAACAAATTCATTACTTATTTAATTACATAACATTATCTGCGCAAATAAATTAATAAATTAATCTTAAATTTTAATTTCTTTTTTTAATCTGTTCGGTACCAGATGACCAGTAACTGTATTTCACAATCACCCTCATACTTGACAGACAGGGATTGAGTCTTATTGAAACGCAACTTTTTGGTCCTTTCTGTTTATCTTTGGATTAGAACGTGATTATGAATAGATGTTCAGATGGCACCAACATTTGTTTAAGCTTACCCCCAGGCATAATATAAATTTCCTAAGTTACCTGTACGTGACGTTGTTTCTCGACTTTAATCATATATATTGCCCCGTATCTCTCCAATGTTTCTCCGCATGCTGGTCGGTATATTTCCCATATTGCCTAATATCTTCAAAACTTTTACCGTATCTTTCACACTTTGGTCCGTACCTTTTCATACTGCTCCGTGTCTGTTCATTATATATACATATACAATGTATATATTTTTCAATATTGCTTCCTATCTTAGCCACATTGGTCCGCATCCTTCCCATATTACTCCGTATTTCCTCATATTGCTTTGTATCTTTGCATACATTACTTTATATTGCTTTATATCACAACATGACCTGTTTCGTAACTTACCCATGCATATTCGGTATCTTTCACTAAGTACTTCGTATTTTTCGGAATTGCTTCGTATCATTTTAAGATTGCATGCTCCGTATCTTTCCCACTTTTACTCCATATCAGTTGTTCCGTATCCTTCACATGTTGTATGTACATGTATATCATATTTCCTTGTTTTCCAAAATAAATTCTACCTATTCTTCTAATTGTTCCTTATCCTTCACATTGTTCCGTATTTCCCCCATATTTCCCCATATCAATTTATTTTATGGAATAATTCCCATATTTCCACATATCAATTGCTCCTTATGTATGGTATATTTTATGGAATAATTCCCATATTTTCCCGTATTAATTGCTCCGTATCCTTCACATTTTTTTGTATATTTCACATATATTGCTACATATTTTGTTATATTTTCAACTTTTTTTCTTCAAACTTTTTTCTTTTGAATACGTACATCTTATATATAACTGTTAAAGGTTTAGGTTAAATATAAAATATATATGTGTACAGTGTATAATGATGAATATATTACAATTTGAACATTATTCAAACTATTTGAAACCGGATTTAAGCATATCGTTTGATTCTCTGGCACTGTCTTACTGATTTATTTACTTTAAGGATACATTTTAATAGATATACGCCTCAACAAACATTTTAGGAGTTTATTTTTCAGATTCGAAGTATGACCAACACACATATTATTTCGGTCTGGGTTTTGTTCTTTTATAAAGGTAACGTATAAGGATTTTTATTCAATTTCTTTTCCACATTCAGTTAATGTATTTTTGTCATACATGAGACTATAATGTCTCTTTTTAATCCACTTTATAATCTATATAATGTCTATCATCTAGCAGACAAAACGGAAAATAAAGAAAAAAAAAGAGAAAAACGACAAAATATATAGTTAGTGGTCTGTCCCTCTATGACATTGTCGCCCATTCAAATGCCTCTAAAGAAATAACGATATGGCATTAATCAGCCACCATAGTAGATAAAGAAATATTTTCTTGCTAATTCAAAACTGGGACAAAAATTACTCTTTTTTTGTATTTTTGTCCCAGTTTAAAATTATATTTTTTTTTGTACTTTCGCCTCACATTTATCTATTGTCGCATAATTTGGCAATCAATTCCCATCCTACAAGTGTGTGAATTGAAGTTCTTATATGTAAATGTAGATCTTATAAGAAGTGATACACAATGATTGATCAATAAAATAATCAATATAAATATTAAAACGCTAAAAATAAGGCAAGCGTATATTTTTACCAGTGACACTAAGATTTTTAAAAGAAATTTGAGCCGCGTCACGACAAAACCAACAAAATCCAGACCTGCCTGCGCATCCGCAAGTGGAGAAACTGACAGCGAACAGCATGGATCCTGATCAGACTGTGCGGATGCGCAGGGTGGTCTGGATCCATGCTGGTCGCAAACCCGTTATGTTGGTTTTGTCGTGACGCGGCTCATTTTGCCGGCTCGCCCCGGCGAGCCGGTATTCCGTAAGGATTTTACTGAGAAACAACCTAAAACTCCGAATCCATCCAAAAATTTAATCGAAGCTTGGCTTCCAGCTTTCTACAAAATTTATCTATCAGGGCTAGGATCCAAAATTATTTAGCCAATCAAATTTGATCTTACATAGCGTCAAAAAACCTTCAATTTTCACGCCATTTTTAAAAAGCAGCAAGTATTGTTTTGAGCGCAAAGATATAATGATGATTAAAATGTTTGTTTTCATGGATTCTTTTCAATAAATCATATTTGTACACTGACTTTGATTTCGCGATTTCACAAGTCCTGTTTTCTCTGTAGTAAGTTTTCCTTTGGTAAATAACATAAACGACATCTGGGTTCTGTGCATTTTTCTTTTTTCCTTTTTTCGGTCATTTCATCCTTTCCGGTATTTTAGTGTATGTATTTACTAGCCGGGATCCGGGACGCCCGGGATCCGGGATCGTATAAGATATAGAGGAAAAAAACTAATAAACTTTATTTGTGTTGATTATTGTCGTAATGAAAGCATTAAACGTTAAAGTTTTTTTTGTATGTAATGAAAGTTTAATTAATTTAACTTAGGATATAGATATATTTAGAGCTATTAATTAACAAATCACAATACTTATAATTAATATGCTAATTAATTGGAAAAAATCAAAAAGACTATAATTCTTGAATTGGTGCAAATCCGGGATCCCGTATAGTTTTAATACGATACGATCCCAGCTTTCTGAAAACAATATTCTTGAACTGGCCAATTCCTGGGCTCCTATTTTTTAATAGGATCCCGGCTTTTCTGGCTGAAATTGATTAACAACTTGTGTTTACTTTAGACTTGTGTCTGTCACTCATTCCAAAACTAAATAACATATTACAAATTAACTTCGTATACAAGACATCTTTTATGAATTCTACTTATCTAATTTTTTTTCATGTCAAGGTCAAACAGGCCATATAGTAAATGTGACTTCATTCTGTCTGTTTTTTACATGAATCTTCATATATACTCATATTCCTACTTTGTTTTAAACTGAGAGAACTGGCTTCCATTACTTTATATGTCACTTTTTTTTGATGTTCGCTGAAGTCTCTACAGCTAACAGAACTGAGTCATTTTTACATTTAAACACACCCCTGGAAAGAAATTACGAGGCGAGTCGCTACTAGCTTTTTAAAAGCTAACCTTGTGTGAATTATTTCAGTCTATAGTGAGACATGTAACGATGATCCGAACTTTACACGAGACGGAAAGTCATGTGACAATCTGGTCCAATCGTCTACGAGAAAAGAATGTTACGAACCGGAAGTAGAATCTGCTTGTTGTCATTCTTGCACACAAGTTCGTTTAGATGCTCCAGGTAATGTTTGTTGAGAAAAAAACGGAAAAAGGTCCTAAATTGATTTGAAAGTTTGAGTTGTTACATTAAATTTGTTTCCTTTTGATATACATGATGCAAATATTTTGGACTTCAATTGACGAGACAAAAGACTCCTTTCGACTATAGTAAGTCAAAGTTTGACCTAAGCGGAGTTAGTATAAAGATAAAGAAGGAAATTTGAAGGGACTTTAGAAATTCTTCGACTTACGCGGAATAATTGAGTCAACTGTACCTATCACTGTTTACCACCTTAAATGCCTATTATGCTATCAATTTTATTTCTCAAAACAATTTTATTTTTGGGTGATTCGAGGTACTTTTGCATATTTCTCCGTTGTTTAGTACCCTAGTTTATCTCTGTAAAAAATTCCAATTTTATGCTTGACCTCAGTGAAGCCCTTTTAAATACATATAAATCTGAATAATATTAATCTGATCGTTTTTTATTCTCTTTATATACCACACGTGCAATTCAATACTGTGGGAAATTGCGTTTTGGGGTCATATCAAAAAGAAGTGGAGCGGTTACCTTATAATTAAATCTATTCTCAAGCCTAGTCCTATTCTGATCACGTACACTTTACTTCCTATTACGTAATACAATACTGGACTTTTTGGAGTGGAGGTGCTTTTTTGTCACACTGTCAACACAATGCATATCCATTTAATTTCTGACTGTTTCGAGATTTCATGTAAGAGCATGTTTTCATTACTTTTTCATTATTTATTTATTTACTTATTTATCTATCTATTTTTTTCAAAAACAAACTTTCAATTCCAGGTTGTTTATATGGAGATCGTGCGGTGTGTATAAAGTTTTTGTGTGACCAATATACAGATGCCGAGGTCACATGCTGTGAGACATGCGGAACTTTACCTTTGACATCTACAGTATCTTTTTTATTTCATAACTGACCAATAACTGTATTGTGTAGATAAAGAATTCAACATTAATTCTATTAATAAGCTTATCATATAATACATTCACTTTTGTTTTACCGTAAAAGGTTAATATAATCATTTCACCAATAATTATGTAATCATCACATTAACGGGAACGGTGGTTTAGTGGTCAAGGTTTCTATTTCTTAGACCAGGGATCATGGTTCCAAGCCCTATTGGGATCACGATAATGTTAGTTCACATGTCGCCATTACTGCTACGTTAAACATGTATTTGACTACATTGACGTATGTTTAAACACATGACTTTTTGTCCTTTAACTGTTTCGTTCAGACTGATCAACCTGTAACATCAGTTTCTAAAACGTCTACAAAGGCATCAACCCTTTCCACGACGTCAGTGACTTCTTCAACGTTTAAAATTGCAAGTGAGCTTTTAAGGAGTTCAACAAAGCTAGATATCATTACATCTAACGGCTTAACAACCGAGTCAAACATTACAACAACTAGTGCTAAAATAACTTCTGACAATACGCCAACCAGTGCCATAACAGCTAGTGTATTGCCTGACAATGTTACAACAACTTCCGCTACAATTGCACAAGAAACTATAAACGCTGCTTCAACTTCCGGTGTAACGATTATTACAAAAACATCTGAAACAACAACAACCAGTAAAATAACATCTCAACCAACGGAACTTACCACCCCTCCCAACACAACCATTGCCGTGACAACGTCTACCATGTCGTCTACTCCTATAATAAGTAAGTTGACAACAACAACAACAATGACGACAGAACCACATGTAGGGACAACTACTAGTGTAACTGCATCCACGTCAACCACCTCAACACGTGCAACAAGTGAGAAACCTACAAGCGGAAAATCCACAGAAACAATTACTAACACTGTCGGTCTAGGGACAACACCTTTAACAACACCTTTAACGACAAAGTCATCTACCACAACAAAATCAACAACAACAAGTAGAAGTTCAACAACAGTAACAAAAGATATAGAAACAACAAACTCACATCCATCTACTTCCGTACAAACATCTCCTGTTGATAGAGGCCAGTTTAGTACAGCAATAGTGACAACAGTTCCAACTGATACTACATCTACTTCCGTTGTTACTGTACCAACTTCCGTTGTGGTGACTGAACCAACTTCCACATCTGCAATAGAAACCACTACCTCATCCCCTACAACTACCTCAATGTCTACTTCCCCTACAACAGTATTCGTTACGACCAATGTCGTCCCAGTTACTTCCGTATCCGGTTCCACTATATCTACTTCCGGTTTTACAGATTCAACTTCTATATCGACAACAACAAAACTTACTACAACTGCTACTAGTCCTATTACAACTGAACCTATAACAACCAAAACATCCACGACAAGCCCTGATACAACAGTTTTAACGTCTGCAGACATGCCTCTAACAAGTTCAACAACTGCAGCCAAAACTTTGAAAACTGTATCTACCGTAGCTTCAACTACATCCAGTTCAACTTCTACATTTTCAACTAAAATTCTGTCTTCAACAAGTACAACAATGCCGGTTCCAATAACTTCAACATCTTCCAGTACATCTTCTTTAATAGCCACAAAGCAAAACACGCAAACACCCCGTATTACAGTTACAACTCCGACTCCCGATGTTGCAACTAATTCTACGACTACTACAGTTTCTTCAGAAAACGAAAGTGGTGAAACTCGTAAGACTTTATTTTCAAAAAATAATACACACATAATTTTTTTTTATTTCCAGAGCCTGTAAGTAATGTTATTTATCTAATATAAAAGCTGTTTATTGAAGGTTCGGTGTTACGCAATGTTATCAACCAAATGCCATAAATCGTTTGGTTCCAAACTAAGATACTTTGAGTTTTAAATGTCATTTAACAAGTTTATGATCCCAGCTATTCGTTTTATTATAAATGACATTTTTTTTCTTTTATAACCGCTGAAATATATTTATATACACATGTATTTGACTTTTAATTCGATTGATAACACACCAACCTTTCTTGTGAAATCATAGTTAAAAATAGACAATTATTTCAAATACATGTAGATCGAATATCTTAAAAGTAAACTATTTCAGATAACCTGAGTTACATGCCATGAATAACAAACAAAATACTGCAGTTCATTGCTATTCTATTTCAATCTAATTTCTTGCATATATACATGTTGTACATGTTGTACATGTATAGATATGGTAAGATTCTAATGAAATTCTAATGAAATTGAAAAAAAATCTAATCCAGGGTTGACCCCAAAACTGCAATAAACAAAACCGGACTAAACAGTTTTGCGGTCAACCCTCGTACCTTTTTTTTCCTTTTTTTTCAGTTTGTCCCCTTTTTAAAAACATAAAAAATGTCTAGTTTTAATTTTTTCCCTTTTGGTGTTGCTTACTTTATTTTTGTTTGGGTTTTAATGTCAAAATTGGGAAGGAAAGAAACGTCGAGGTTTCCCAAACGTCGTCGGCGGAGCCCAAACCGGGAAATTGGGGAAAACCCTTTGAATCGGTGGGATCAAATTTAAAATTAAAAATACAAAAATTTTAAAATTAAAATGTACAAAAAAAAAATTTTTTAAATTACTAAATCAAAATAAGTTCCCTATGTTTTAAAAATCCCTCTGAGACTTTAATAAAAATAAAATTATTTCCACAAATTAATTTTTTAATTTGTTTATCAGTAATTTTAAACAGAAAAACCTTATTGTTTAAATCTTTCAAAATTTGTATTTTTCTGAATGTATAGGCAACTGGAAAAACAAAAAAAAAAACATTTTGAAATTTTAAAGTCGCTCCCCCGGAAGCTACCCCGCCCACCCTTTCCGTTTTTGGTTTCGTGTCAGAGCCCCCGGAAAGCTGCCTTTCAAAAAAGGGTGTTTTCTTTTTGAACCGTCCCTTTTAATCTACGAACAATGAATTCCAAATACTCCGTATTGGTTTGACGATACATCGAGACAGATTTTTAAGGAAGAAATTCTTCCATTCAGAGCCAAATGACTGGAACAGGCCTTACTTTTTTCAACAATTGGATTACGGGCGGCATATGGTCGGGCACATGACTGTTTTCACTCCGCGTTAGGACTCACATCACACAGAGTATGGGTCAAATAATTTAAAAGAATACTACCTTAAAAGAAGCCATTTGGTCCGCATGTTCACAAAGAATGAAGAATGAGAATCAGGGTCAGAATTCACATAATAAAATTTTAAACTGTTTCAAATGTTGATGATAACGAATATGCGTTTTTAAATAACATATTCATGTACAATTGGATAGATATTTAGTAGACTTGGAGTAATAAGAGGCATCAAAAAACAGGGATATAATTGACAAGTTATATATATAACCTAGTGATATTTTAATGAAAAAAATATTTTTAAAAGTTTTAAAAAAAATTTACTTAAGAAAAAAATTTGTGCCCCCTTTTTCATGTTTTTTTGTTGCTGTTTCTTTTTTAAATTTTTGAAAAGTAAAGCCATTATATTGAAATTTCCCATAAATTTTATTCTAAAATAAAAATTTTTTGGAAACACTGGTTTAAAATTTTGCGGATATGTATAAAAAATTTTTGTTGGTAACCCCAAACTAAAAGCAGAAAAAACCCAAAAAAATTTCGATATTTTTTTTCCCAATGGAAACTTAGATGTTCCTTTTTGTAATTTTTTGGGTTAAAAAAAGGTCATACCACAAAAAAGGGAAAACTTAAGTTAAAAAATTTCGGAACAAAATCTTTCAATAACATGTCTTTTTTTAATTGAAAAATGATTTTTAATTCACCATGTTTAAAAAAAAAATTGGATAAAATTGAAATTTTGCTTAAAGCAATTCATTTCAAGGAATCCATTCTGGTGTTTTAAAGCTGCGCGCCATCAGACGAGTAAATTGATATATAATGGAGGTCAATAGTAATGTCGATAGTATTAAGTATCAGAAATAACAACAAACCATGAAGGAATTATACCGGTATATGGATGTTGTTTGCATTGTGAGATACATGGTCCGATATTATATATATGTATTTATTATATACTTATAAATGAAATATTGAGAAATATTGATGAAATAAAATGCGTATTTTCATTTTCCGTATTTTCACTGTAAAAATTTATTTTTCACTGCAGTGAAACATATTTTCCGTATTTTCACTGGTGTCTTGCAGGACTACTTTCTTTTAAATTCTGCCAGTTCACAAAATTTAAGGGAAAGTCTTTCAAATTTTAATGTCAAAAAAAAAGAAAATTGTATATAATAAACAGAAAATTCAAGTTTGTGGCATGAAAATTACCATATTTCACTCGTGGCTACCGCCACTCATGAAATATTTATTTTCATACCACTCGATGAAAATAAATCATGTTTTTATAGTAAAAACTTGAATATCCTCTATATAGTAGATAATAACATGTTCTAGAAAAAAATATAATTTTTCATCATATAAATGTTCATCACTTAAAACTTTTAATATAAACATTTTTTTTAAAAAAGAACATATTTTCAAGAAATATTATATAAGAATATCTAGATGATATGAGCCGCGTCACGACAAAACCAGCATAATGGGTTGCGACCAGCATGGATCCAGACCAGCCTGCGCATCCGCGCAGTCTGATCAGGATCCATGCTGTTCGCTATCAGTTTCTCTACTTGTTATAGGGTCTGTAAGCGAACAGCATGGATCATGATCAGACTGCGCGGATGCGCAGGCTGGTCTGGATCCATGCTGGTCGCAAACCCATTATGTTGGTTTTGTCATGACGCGGCTCATATCAATATTTAAATTCTAATGAAAAATGTGTCAATTATAGAACAATCTACTTTAAATTACGTTCGAATTGTTTATTAAGGATTTAAGGAATATATTTTTTCACAATATCTTAGATGCATATTGTATATTTTGCGCACGATGCCACTCTTTCTGTATTTTGTCATCCCATTACTAACAGAAATAGGGCAATGTTGGTTCATATTTTGACATTTTAAAGGTAACTTTCATCTGTTTCAAGAGCTAAGTATCTTATATGTTTATTTTTGACAATGTTGTTACAATGCAGAACGTAATTTTAAATGTTCATAAAAAATAACAAAATGTGGATGCGTGCGTCTTTAATTCAAATACGCAGTTCAAATCGGCCTAAAGAAAACAAGGAACAAAAACCTAATACATTATTATTTGAGGGTGAAAACCTTGTGATATTAACAAAACAGTAGTATGATTTTACCGTGTAAAATTCTCACATGATATTTTTATCATTCAATTTATAATGACAATATTTGGCGATATTTGATACTTGGCTCCTTGTACTTCAATAAGTGTCAAAAGTAAATTGTATATTTTTTGTTGTAAATTATCTGATAAACATTGCCCTCCATTGTATATTTAATAGTGGGTTTTGCACGAGTTAAATACCAAAGTGAAACGCCCTTTTGTTACAGGATATTGAGAAAATAAGAAACTATTTGACATTTTAATTGCAATTTTGAACACCCAGTGTGTAATTGAAGTTAAAAAATGATACAAAGTAAAAAAATCACACCACAGACTGAAACGGATTGTCAAAACTTGTTGGTGGCTGTGAACGCGTTTCTTTTTTTTTTCTCTTCTAATTATAAAGTACATTAAATCTGTCCCGTGTAAATAAATTATGATTGCGTAACTATAAATTGGTTTTTTAAATATCGGAAAAAACTAATTTAAAGATTTTGGGGAAAAAGAGAAAAATTTTAAATATAAAAAATTTTTATAGGCACTTTTTTTAGAGATTCATTAGGCCTCCCATTTTTGTTGGTTTTTGATTGTTTTGTTTTGATTTTTTTTTTATTTTTTAAGTTATTTGTAATCCCAAAATTGGCCAAAAAGGGGCCCCCAATTTTGGGGGCCGCAGAGCTTTTTTTTTTGTTAAATAAATTTTGGGAGGTGATCTTTTTGAAGCGGTCCCGGGGGAAGTAAATGTTTTCCCCGGCAAACTTGGGCATTTTGGTATGCTTGTGAAAAAAGTTATAAAAGATTATTTTTCCAACTTTTGAAATTTTTTATTTTATTAAAGATGTTAGCAGTTAAAAAAAATAACAACAAAGATGTTAGCATCAGTTAAACAAAATGACAACAACAAAGATGTTAGCAGTTAAACAAAATGACAACAAAGATGTTAGCAGTTAAACAAAATGACAACAAAGATGTTAGCAGTTAAACAAAATGACGGCAAAGATGTTAGCAGTTAAACAAAATGACAACAAAGATGTTAGCAGCAGTTAAACAAAATGACAACAAAGATGTTAGCAGTTAAACAAAATGACAACAAAGATGTTAGCAGTTAAACAAAATAACAACAAAGATGTTAGCAGTTAAACAAAATGACGACAAGAACCTGTTCTCAACAAAAATTGATTTTAAACGTAACTTCATAAAAATGCCGACTTTTCATACTCAGCACTCTACTTTAGCTTGTACAGACGTTGAAATTACATGAACACTTTAAATATAAGAAATATGAAATTAATAGCCCGTGTGTATATACTATTATAAAATAGCATTCAACTTTTATCGAACCAACTATTAGTAAATAGAGGATATTGAATGAGTGTAGTTTAATACTAAATTTATTGAACGAGTTGAATAAAATCATATTATGCGAGCCTCTGGCGAGCATAATATTGTTTTATTCAACGAGTTCAATAAATTTAGTATTGAATCTACACGAATATAATATTCTTTTTATCACATTTATAAAATAAGAACAGTAAACTGTTAAAATGAGTAATTTTTCAACGACGCGTCTATAGTGTAACGCT